ATCATAATTCTGAATGATCTACGTTCGAGCTTGGCGAAAATTGTGTCTGCTAGGAGTGGACCAAGCGGTGATTCCATTACTACATCCTCCTCTTGTCAATAGCAATTTGGATTGTACAAAAATGATACTTCCTACATACACCTCAATAGTAGTTCCTTAAGTTGCTTCACGGGTAATTTGTTCGGGATATTGTTTTCGATGATGTGTTCACAAACTTAGTAAACCGCTTCCAACAGTGTTACATTTAGAAAACGGTATTCGTGAAGAAATTTCTTTTCGATATATCGCATCAGGCGTTTACATTTATAAGGTGATCACAATACAGATATCTGATTGGCCGATTAGAGCTCAGTTAGTAACGATGACAGAGGCGAGCAAACAGATCAAAAGAATATGACAAGGCTAATGATAGTTGTGGGTGGGGGTGAGAACACAAAGGTCAAGTAGACAGACGTTCGAGAGATGAGCAGATTAAATGAAGGTTGTGAGCTAAGACGAGAGAGGGATGAAGTTACGTAATATACGGTAGAAACTATAGGTCATGCACAGCAAATGATGTAATCAGGAAGGGACATTAGAGACACAAACAAGAAAATTAGTTCTTAAGATTGAGAATGGTGATACTATAGGCGAGGAAAGAGGGACGGGGACGGGATGTTACATTTGTGAACAAGGTGGCGACATCAAGGGAGAGGAACATGGTCTTATGTGATACGTCTCGATTCCTGATTCGATCGACGAATGCGAAAGAATCTTTCGCGCTATATCTGGATAGAGATTTGTGCACAGATTATAGAATCTATACAATCCACTGTGCTATGGCATAGTAGGCTGACTTGTTCATGCCATCTGTGGTCTAAAAGGAGCATTTGGTTTGTAAAATTTTGGTACATCATAGAGTCTCCGTGGTTGAGATCCACATGAAATGTGTTTATCGAGGATCGTTTTGAAGATCGAATTCTCTGCCTTAATTTAATTCAAGATCTCTGCAATTTTCGTTTCGGATTCTTGCGTCTTATCATTCTCTTTACTGTCACCAATAAATAGAGCATTCGTCATATTCAGACCGGTCCAACATCACCCACAAAATTGTGTGCAATCACAACTAAAAAGCATAGAACAGATGTCTGAACAAAGAGAAAAAACGGTATTACCTCAACCTCTTCGATAGATTCGTATAGTTTTTCGAAACTTTTCTGAATGTTTTCTATTTCCATTTGATCAGCTGTCTGCTTTTGCATTTCACATTCGGTGCGTGAGAGCATCTGGAAGAGGAATTCGAAACGAACTATAATCTCCGTTGACACGCTGCGCATTAATTTGGAAACACGTACAAATTCAGTTGATGTATTTGTTGATGCATAACCACTGTGATTGTGACTGAATTGATTTGGTAAAAATCATACCTCATTTAACTTTTGTTCGATTTCACCCAGTTCTTCTGCCTTGGTAGCGATCACTTGCGCGAAATCTGCGCTGACTTGGTCTTGCTTCTCTTGCATCTGGAACAGATCGCATGTGAATTAGCATAGGACAGAACCCACGCATAACAAGTACACTTATTTTGTAAGAAGAAAACACAGTAGCGAACAAGCTCGTTTGGGGTAATTCATCTACAGACTAATACATCACAACTGATGTCAAAAAGAAGGGAATGAAAACATGAAAACATGACAAAATGAAGAGAGAAATAGCCAACATTTTAGCTCCATGATCGGATGTTGCTCATACCTTGGTCATCACACATAAGTGCTGGTTTGAATCGTTAGGGGTTGAGTATGTCATGTACGTCAGCTGTGAAAGACCGAGTGTTCTTACCAATTCCAGGAATACACCAGTGGCACACAGTAAATGAAAGCGCAGTTTAGCTAACAAGCTTCTTTTCGGTAACTCATCAACTGGCACATTTTATGTAACATCATTTTGTATAGATAAGAGGAAGCAAAGTAAACGAAGACTCAAATGGAGATTGTTGCTATTGTTATTATTTTCTGTCTCAGTTTCACAAACCGGATATGGCTGATCGTACCATCGGGACTACGCTTAAACCGTGTTACTTGTGTAATTTGGGCTGGATAGAGAGACTGAAATGCTTCAGTCACACCCCCTATGTGATCTGACTCGACGGGTGTGAAACGATGGCACTTTTAACCTCACCACTGTTCATCCAGGCCGGATAGTGTTCCCAAATGTTTGCAGATAGGCCGAAAACAACAAAAACAATCACTTATTTTACTTCCCCCTCTCTTACGAATTGTTTTGGGGAACATAGGGAACAGGTATTATGTCGGCCGATTCCGACTGCTTCCGTTGTCGCCAGAATGCGACTTTTAATCCCCTTTGGATCGACGGTTGCGAACTAAGTACATAGGTTGAAACGCCTCGGCCGCAGTAACCACGTGATTTGACTTCACCAGGTGTGAAACCGTCCAGCTACTGATAGTCTTAATCACCCCACTATTCAGTCAGCTCAGAGGGTGCTCTCGGACTCGTTCAAATAAAAGTCTGCTCGTGTCCCACACGAACAAGTAAACAAGTGCTCACAGAGACTGCAGAAACAGACAAAGTGATCTGGAGATGAACACAATGCGAACTTTTGCTGCGAGGAATGCTTTTATCACAGATGTACTCAGACTACGTGTCACCATTTTGGCATACGTATCTGTAACAACTCACAACACGTCTCATTCAGGATACATAACTAATGGAGCTATGGACTGATTTCGAGTTCAGTGACAATAAAAAAGTGCAAACACATCGATGTAAATTCTAANNNAAATTCTAAATAATTGTCGCGTCGTTATTGTATTGCATCACCGTTCTACGTGACGAGAGCTAGACCAAATTATGCTCTTTATTGTTCGGAGCTATGTGTAAAAAGAAAAATCATAAATTGACATTGGCTTTTGAGTGAAATGTGTCTGATCTTGGGTCAATGATTGAATTGGTCTAAGTGAATTGTTTTTTTATAGTAAAATCACAGTTGACTGTAAACAATAGACTCACTCTACGTTTTGATGAGTCCTCCTCTTGAGCTATTTTATCTTCCAACTGCTTATATGCGTCCTCAATAGATTTGTGATAAACTTCAGTTTTTCTGAAATCAGGAGAACCGAACTTAAACTAGGGAATTTCTGTTTAACAAGATTTATATATACATATTTATATATTCAATTATGCACAGCTCTGCTCATGATGAAATATAAGTAAAACATTAGGCTTTACCTATGCATGCGGGTACAGAATTTGCAAGAATAATTGAATCACAAACTTCATCTACACGATGTTTACGTAAGTCCATACAAGGGAGACGGACTACATGTTTTATCTGCCCATTTGGACGCATCGTAAGAAACTTTCCTGCGATTGCTCATAGTAACACGCAACACAAATACGCACACACGGAAACCGCTTCCATTCACAAGCTAATTTCCTGTTGACCTCGGTCACGACAGCAACCATCGGCTGAAACTAATGCAATTTGAACTCTAGAAAGAAAATGTTTTTATCCAAAATACCGTCTGTGATTGCAAAGTAACACAACATAATAAGATAAAATGCAATTGAAATACATGTCAAACACCTAAACAGCATCTTCTTCCCTCAAAGTGCTACATGATTGTGCAATCGACAGTTTCATGAAGTCCGTTCAGTACAAAAGCTAACGAGTGAAAGCCAAGCCACAGCACGAACATGATCATTAAATATTGACTCCATTTTAATCGATACTAAATCATTTGTTGTCCACTGACCCTTTAAGAACGTGCGAAATGGATACTGGAAAGAACCACAGAATTTACCGTTTCGTCACGTGCACTTCTCAAATTCTTCAGACGTTTCTAGAAACGGGTGCAGTTGCCACCGTTCTCCGAAACGCGGAACTATCATTCGATTGTCGATTTAATATCTGGACATCATTTAAAACAATACATAGCATTTTGTTAATGGTTTGATTGATCAGAAGTGACAAAGTAGGACCCCTTTGTTGAACGTTGCTACTGGCTGTGAAGGAAAATCCCGAGAGTAACATATCTGCGATAAATTTAGCGAAAATGGCCCCTACGGTTGAATGGATATCGCGTTTATAGGCTAAAGACTATATGGAAGCGCTGTACAGTTATTAAGTTGTATTTACGTCATAGTGGTTAATCGCTAGTAAATGGGCATTTTTTACCGTCATAGAACGGAGATGCCCGAAGGCATGGTGGGATTTCGCCTCACAAGCCATCTATTCTCAAGTGCTCATAGAAAGCATTGTGTCATAAGCGAAGCTTGAAGTGCTGAAAACAGTCATCGACAAAACCCTTTTGCACTACAGGTAGCACTTATCTGTTCAAGGGCTACAGTTAAATCTTCGAATGGAACGACCCAAAGACACTGTGAGTAACACTTCGTAACACAGAATTCATGGATTGCTCCATGAAACAAACTTGAAAAACAAGTAACTGACAACAGAGCGTTAGTCAGTCTGCGATTTGTGGACTAACTCAAGCGGTTTATGTCTTATTGTCGCTATTCGTTCGTCACTATGAGACCAAAGCTTGATTCATACCCCGGCAACCCGAAAGGAATTCCTAATGGATGTGGATATCATACTACAAAATGTTACATAATGTCATATCAAGTATGTTGATATGATGATCCTAGCCTAGGAGGTGACGCATACCACGGAGTGACACGTCACAGTTTTCGGACAACTGTGATCAGTCGAGCTTCCAGGGTGACGTCAGCAAAGCGCGTACGTGTCACAGCTTCTAGACCATAGGTCGATTGAATCAATCAATCAGTAACCGTGCGCCCCAGACAGAAGATAAACAGCGCCAGAAATACTAGCACGCGATTGGCAGAGGCTTAGATAACTAATGAATTTGATTTTTACATATTACTTATTCCCCCTGATTTCGCTTTCCTCTCGTCTCGATTATGTGGGATACTGCGTGCTAGTGACAGTGTAATCCAGTGCTCACGTTGCGTCCGTGATTGCCAGTCCGTGATTTCTTATCCGTGATTCGTATTGCCTGGTTCGTATTCCGAGTTCAGTGCATACTAATACTATCATTACCACAATTAATAAAGTTAACCTTTTGATGACAGTCTGGATTAGGTTCATACCACAGCTGTTTGCGTAACCTGTTATTCTTCTGGAAGTTAAGGAGGTTAAAGGAATAGTTTTGAATGGTGGCATATGTCACACAGATTGGATGTTGCGCATTAGGACGATGACAGAGCGGAAGAGATAGTTACCTCCCCCGGGTAGGTTGCCAATCCACTCTTTTTTGCTTGACAATATCAGCGTTATCGTTCTTTGCAAACTTACATATAAGTATCAGTTAATTGTATCGGAGTAACCGCGACGGTAATAGTTCAGCTAAATAACCCCCGGGAGTGTTTCACTCACAATCAAGTTGATGCTCTTTATCCGATGTGTTCTGTCGACTTTGATCGCAGACTATTTCTCTACCACCAATTTCCTCTGAAAATGCAGCTAATCCCCTTTCGTAGCCTGCCCTTTCCAACAGTCCTCCAACCCGTGTTATTGTCTTTTTTGTGAAACGGTGTTTTATAGGCTCCCTGTTTCTGTTTTTACCGTAACCAATTACGATCTTGTAGTTTCATCCTATCAGTACTCTTCATTTCTGTCCTATATAATGTTTTGAACGAAATTTAGAATTTCAAAAGACAAAGAATATAGCGAACTAGCATGTTTTTGTAACCTCGTCTTTAGGCATTTACAGTTATGTATGTGTTTATATCTAATGTAGAAACGAATGTGATTCGTATTTTGTGATCAGTGCATACTACAGTTACTACGATTACTGCATTTACCCACTTTAAGGTATCTGTTACAGACCATAAATAGCAAAAAGTGTACGGTAATACAAACAGAAATTCTCATTCTCATAGTTATCTTTATTCATTGTAATTGTTTGATCTACATTTTCCACGGTTTTTACCCCGATCCTCCCATCCTCTGTTATTATTGTTGTTGCACTGACATCATTAAATTAGAGAGTTAAAGAATAAAGAATAAAAATAAAATAAAATAAAGAATAAGAATAAAGCATCTAAGGAAAACACTTGGCTATATTCAGCGCAATTGGTCCAATGCAGCTAAATGCAATTTAGCGTACGACAATATAGGTAGTTGAATTTTGTTCACTTGTTGTCACAACGGTGAACGACATTGGGCAGAAAATAAAATATTGGTGTACTCCAAACTGGAGCACTGAACTGCTGTTATTCGTTCCCGTCCTACGCACAATTCAGTTTCGCCCAGTACCCTGCCATGCAATTGGGCAGTGTTTTCAATGACGATCTCAATGGTGCTAGGTCCAACTGAGTGAGTTTAGTAACCCTACCGTAGAGCTGAACAGTTGCGAATAGAAGATGCAACTGCGTTAGGGCAAACCTGCAAATACAGACTAAGTTTTTAAGATTCAACTAATTAGGGATTCTACAGCAAACTCGAACCAGGAAATCTCAGATCGCAATATTACTTCAG